GGCAGATCCCCACCACTGAACACTTCACAGGGCAGATCTCCCCCACTGAACACAAGGCAGATCTCGGTCAAAACAGTAGCAATTAGGAGGCGAAGGAAGAGATGGAGGGAGCAGGGAAGAGGACAGAGAATGGAGGGATGAGTTTATACAGAAAAGGAGAGAGAGGGATCAGAAACAATACCAATAACAGCCATGCCAAAATATTTTTTCTTTTTTTCCCATTTTTTTATATATAAACAAACCAAAAAACAAATTTGGATTGTACACTTTTTTTGTTTCATATATATCTCTCTCAAGAAATCTCCGCCGAGTTGGTTCTCGGCTACAGCTTCTGGGGGAGACGGGGAGAGGGGCTGGGCCGCCCGTCCGCACGGCACAGCGGGGCGAGGGGGGGTACAGCAGCTTCTCGGGACGAGGGGCGGGGGGAGGGAGGGGTGGCCGGACGGATCGAGCCCTGGTCTCCGTGCTGCTAAAAACCAGCAGAGGGGAGAGGTCAGAGGTCAGAGGTCGGGGAAAGGGAGCCTCGTGCTGCTGGAGGTGTGCAGCGCGGAGGACTGGGGGGGCAGACAGGGGACGAGGAAGAGGGGAGGAGGGGAGGGGTGGGGGGTGTGTTTGCGTGCCTCAGTCCTTCCAATCCTTCTTGATGTTGAGGTTCCACTCCCAGGACAGGTGGTCGTGCTTGTCATCGTCGGTGAAGCGCGATTTGATGTTGTAGGTGCCGCGCGCCAGCATGCCCTTGGGCGCCTCCTCCAGCGGCGTCAGGAACTCGTACTCGTCCGGCCGCGGCCCATAGCTGCCCACCATGTAGTCCGACTTGTCGACTGCGGGCGCAGAGGGAGACACTGCCTCAGTCCACTTCTCCCCCCACAGCCCCCCAACTCTCTCTCTCTCCCCCCCACAGCCCCGCTCCCCAACTCTCTCCCTCTCTCTCTCTCCCCACAGCCCCGCTCCCCAACTCTCTCTCTCCCCCCCACAGCCCTGCTCCCCAACTCTCTCTTAGTCCTGCCTGAGTGAATCCTTTCACATTTGTAAAGTGTCTTTTTTAGCAGTTCTGCTTCATGTCTTAGGGAAGCTCCTAGGGAAGATTCTTTTAAGAGAAAAGGCCTGAAATCCAGCGTCACTCTCAAATAATTCACATGCAAAAAGAGCCAAGCAGCTTCACACTGAACCCCCCCCCCGATCCAGACCCAAGGCCAGGCCCCCTGGGAAGAGTGGGTCCAGCCCCGACCCCCCCAGGCCCTGCGAGTCGCTGGCCCCACCTCTCGTTCCTCCCGGCTCCTGGGAAGGGGGCGTGTCCGATTACAGACAGGGGAAAAAGTGCTACAAACACAATGCAATGGGAAGCCTGTTTCCCGAGAATGGAAGAATGGCATTCCTGCTTCTTCCAGAATCCGCTTCAACAACAGGAAGAGCAGAGGCCACGGGGGCTCCCCCCCACGCCGCCCCAACAAGACGGAAAAGCCGGAAGAAAAACCCAGAACAGAGTGACGGAGGAGCTAAAGGAGGACCGGGAGAAGAAACTCACTCTTTACTCCTTTCCTGTAGGTCTGCTGGACATACTTGAGTCCTGAGACAATCTCCTTGTTCACCTGCGGAGAAAGGGGAGACAGGCCGTCACTGATCACAGCCACACTTGCAGGAAGCCATCCGACTCCTGATCCACTCCAGGTTTTATCAGCTGCGGGGCTCAGTCCTGGAAGGACACAAGACCAGTCACAAACAGGAGGAGCCATTGGGCCTCTATAGCCCGTGTGAGAGGAAGCAGATGAACTTGCCCAGCTGGTTCTTGGAAGAAGCCAGAGTGTCAGCTCTGCTCTTAAGAGCAGCTCCTTCTAAACAAACACTGAAAGCATAAGACTGCCTCTCTCCTCGCGATCTTCCAGCTTTACTCAAACCGCAATACCAAGGAGGAAATACTCAGCAATCGGTCTTATCTTAACAACTAGAACCTTCAGCTGAAAAAGCCTGAATGGACTGAACTGCTGGAAGAACCGCTGGCCTGGTCTTCACCACTGACCACAAGCTTCCACACAGCACTGCACAGCCAGGCTCCAGTGGCCGAGAGGGGTGTGTCTACCTGTCTGCGGGCTCGCTGTCACAGTGCAACCTCCCTGCCCGTCTCCCCAAAACCCTTCCAAAAACGCCCTCACGTGCGCAAACAGAGCAGAACCTCCAGCCCTGTGGGTCGAACAAGAAACAGGATTGTGGGACAGCACCGCTCGCTGGGCCGGGCTTAGAGGCTTACCTTGAAGCTGATCTTTATCCTATACTCCACTCCCTCCTTCAGCACAAAAGACTGCTTCTTAAAGCCCTCTAGATCTCCTGGCAGGAAGAGGGAAGGACAGCAAGTGAGCGGATAACCTCACACGTGTAACACAAGAACAACACAATTAATTTCCTGCCCTGCTGTTTTTACTTCTCAATGGTTCCAGAGCAACAGAACACCTGGGGCATTACTTAGAGGGCGCTCTATCCACCCTCCTGGGGCATTACTTAGAACAGAAGAGTACGAGGACACCCGACCCCAGCACCCAGAGTCCTCAACAGCCCCAACAGTCTTCAGGATCACGGGAAAACAAGTCCAAGTGCATGTCTTGACATAAAGGGGTGTGGGAGTCTGGATGAAGCTGGGTGAGTCCCGGACCCCCAGGCTGTTAGCTCAGAGAGAGTGGAGAGGCCAGCCCGCTGGAGCGCGGCGATTCTGCAGGATGTCTTGCTCACCTGTCAGGTCAAGGGTCAGGGGCTGCGGGGCCGAGTCGCACACCAGGGTCAGCCGCGTCACCTGCACGTTGGGGGCGTTGGGGTCTGCAACGACAGCCACAGGTTACACACCCGGGCAATGGGGAGCCCACGGGCAGGGGCGCGGACAGGGCGAGACTGACCCAGAGGGACGGGCGCGGACCCCAGCAGCGCCTCCTTGTACTTGCGCAGGCTCTCATCGTCCTTGTCCAGCTCCTGGATCTCCTGCAGGCTCTTCTGCGCCGGCGGGCGGTAGTTCACCCCGCCCTCGCCCTCCTCGTTCTCCGCTGCGATCGCAGCCAGCTGCTCGGGGGTCGGCTCCTGCTCCGCCATCTTCTGCGGACGAGACACGCAGGCGTGAGTGCCCCCTAGGGGACAGGGCAGAGCGCACAGTGTCTGCAGGCCCTCCTACGACAGACCTGCAGCCCAGCGTGGTGAGGTCACCAGGGTGGGGCACAGGCAGAGGAGCGATGCCCTCTGACCCCAGGACACAGCACACGCAAGCAGAGACGGTAAAGTGACTAGTTTACAACCGAGTTGGTATCAGGAATTTAAGCAGCCAATGCAGAAATGTATTTTCAAACACTGCCCTGTCACAAATGTGTGCTACGCAAGACCGGAGAGGCCAAGACTGAAGCAATCTTAATGCTGCAGGCCAAGAACTGTGCCATTTCGACAATCTGTAGTCGCTATTCCTCCCTCTCCCTAATTCTGTCAGGCAGCTTTGGGGTCCCAGTGTTGTTGCTTCTAAAACAGAGTGCAAATAAATAAGCTTCGCCCAGAGCAGGCCTGATCTGGCCCAATTCCATCTGGATACAGGATTAATTCTCCACCCCCGTGGCCCCCAGAGAGAACACAGCCTCCAGAACAACAGCCCAGCCCCAGCCCCCAGCCCCCCTCCCTGCCGCTCCTGACAGAACAGAGTCCACTCTGCTGGCAGGCACCTCCACGCTGTCCTCAAAGCCATCTTTTATCCAAAAAAAGAGAACTCCGGTACAGCACAAGCTCACACACACAAGCCAGAGACAGAGTGTTGACACTGAGATGGGGTGAAAGGTCACAGAAAGATGCGTGTGGACACCATGCTGGGGTGAAAGGTCACACAGAGAGACAGGCGTGTGGACACCATGCTGGGGTGAAAATTCAGAGAGGAAGAAGAACACACAAGTGTGAGAAGGAGGAAACGCAGGAGGAATCTTCTGCAGCCAGCCCACAGGGAGCTGGGACTCACACTGACATTTGTTCCTGATCTGTGGGGACCTCCCACTGAATTACTTGTTCTCTCCCTTACTCTTCATTTGTTACACTGGTTACCATTTATTACTTGCGTCATTTGGAAATAACACTCCAAACGGAGTGAGAATAAAACCAAACCGTGCAGGAAGATCCAATTTATATTTGACAGAAACTGACATGTATTTTCATCAGGAGCTGCAGTCTGTGTTGACAAACCTGCCCCCCTGCACACACACTGCCTCGCTGTACGTAAAACAGCCCCCAGTCACATCACAGCACCGCATGAAACCGCCCATCAGACGCGGGAGGGCAGGGGAGAGGGGAGAGGGGACTCTCCAGCTGGAAGGGGGTGGGTAATTGCGTGCAGCTGTGGGCAGCTGTATCTTTAGATTTTAGATTTAGATCACTTTATTAGCCCTATACAATTTCTTGCATTAGGAATTTGTCTTTTCGCAGACCCCAGCTCGCTCTCCATGAGACACAGACACACAGACAGGATCAGGCAGGGGGAGGGGTGCGTGAGAGGCAGGGGGCCAGTGTTTCACTGGAACATGGCAGGTCTGCACCCCTTCAGTGTCCCACAGCACCACACTGCACAAAGACCCCCAACACCTCGAAACGAGCAAAAGCCATCACGTATCCTGAGCCTCCTCCATTTTGTGCCGAGTGTTGTGTTCAAGACGAGCACGTGCTCCTCATTTCAGCGCAGCAGTGCTCCAACACGACGTCACCCCACACCAGAGCCAGAGCACACCCCTGGACTGCCGCCAGCCTGCGCCACTCCATCACACGAATTCTCCTAAAAGCCTCAGACTCTAAGAACAGGAACAAGGGATTCGTGTCATGACGCCGCATGCCCCATCCCAACAGGGGGCGCTGTCGGGGCAACACTTTCCAAAGACAGGGGAGCTCCGTCTGCAAAGAACACGTTTCATTTTAATCTTATTCCCACTCCTACAGAGACAAACAAGTCGACTGGTTTATTACGGCAGCATGAAGGTTTTTATATGTGAGCTGCTAGTATTCTTACTGCTGATCTGGGTCACCAAAGCACTTCGACAGCACCGCATAACTCCTGTCGGCATAATGCAGCCTGTCCCAAAGCCAAGGAGAGAAGAGAAATAAACGCAGAGAGATGGAGAGCAGGGAGGAGGGGCAGAGCTGAGCCATCAGACGAGCTGCACTGTCCAGCAGTCACACCGGCAGCTGTGCACCAGCTGTGCTGGAGATGCTCTGGAAACCACAAGCTGGCACCCTGGGCTGCCACCTGTCCCAGCGATCGCTGTTCGGGTCGAACATGGGAACATTCCTAAAGCCCAGGAGGGCCTCCGTCACATGCTACAGCCTTCCCATTTTCCTTAATCACCTCATGGAGACTGCCTGCTTAACTGGGCACGTTTCACCTCTAAAGAGCAAAGAAGCAAAAGACAGGAAGGGAAAAGTGTAGATAACGAGAGACAGAGCAAGAGAGCAGCTTGCCCCAGGGACACACTGTGAACATTTCTCGGCTCTGTTAGAACTGGCTTCATTAACTGAAGACACAGTGACAGACCCGCAAGGCGGCAGGAGGCCGTATCGGGGTACAGCGAGAGATTCCGCCTCTGGCACAAGACCCACAGTGCCTCCCCTCCTCATGACCCCACAGAACCGCCCCGACGAGCTCAGGGACACAGGCCCAGCCCGGTCCAGAGGCCTCTGAGGGGACTGAAGGCACAGGCCTGTGCGCTTCAGCCCAGCTGGCACGTCTTCGCAGACAAGCATGTTAATTAAGGCAGGGATTCGGCAGAGCCCAGAGCTGCCATCGCAGACGAGGACGGGCACGAAGGAAGAGAGCTGCAGAGCTCCAGGCGCAGTTCTGCGCGACTCCTCCTGCCCGCCACACTGAAGAGGCAGCTGAGTCTGACAGCATCGAGTGGCTCCACTCACAGCACAGCTCCCCTCCTCCGTCTGTCCCACTCCTGTCTGTGACACCTTCCCTCCCACAGTGCCTCATCCACACAAACAGCCCTGCACTAGCACTAGCACAAATCTGTGAGAGGGCTTTCAAAAAGCAATATCGTCTGTGGTACGAAGGGGAGTAATTAAGCAGTCAAAGGTAAGAGGCTGGAAGAGAAGAGTGCGTGTGTGGAGGTAATTATGAGCTGCAACAGGCCGGCGGGGCTCCATGTCAGAACACCGCAGGGCCCTGGACTTTCATCCAGCCCGTTAACGATCAATTTACTAATTGTGAAGGCTGGCGAAAGCCCATTGGTTTTTACAAGGGTTTCTTTCAGTGGCCATGTACACCAGCAGTGCTGGGGCACGTTACAGGGTCTGACGAAACAGTCTAGATATAAAGACTGTAAGAGAGACTGAAAAGGGGTTTGCATCTCTCAGACTGGCAGGGGCTGAGCTCCAGAGGTGGGGAGCAGGACGCCTGACAGCGTGCGCCCCAAGACCTGTACCTGTAAGAAGTTAATAATAAAAACAACCTAAAAAAGCCCTGCTTGGTGCACAAGGAGATGCTACATAACTACAGTTGCACACAACTCTTATCCCATTAGTTTGTCCCAAGCAGATGAGCGGCGCCACAGACCAGCTGGAGATGAGTTTGCCACGTGGTGTGAACAGAACTGTTTGAAGGTGAATGTTTCTGAGACCAGAGACATGGCGACTGATTTCAGGAAGAACCCTCAGGGCCTGCATCAGGAGACTATCTTCAGAGATGGCAGATACTCATAACTATTAAAAGGACTGTAAGTTAGTTTTGTGGCAAACACCGATTCTATTTCTCAAAAAGTGCAACAGCATCTAATTATCTTAAGGAATCTTGAACAATTTAAGTTTGATTACAAATCAGACAAAGCAGGACAGGAGGATGTGAGCAGAGGAGCTCAGAAGGTAGGCAAGTTTGTGGGGAGACCCTGGGAGCCCCAGTGTCGGCCGTCACTGTCCCTCCCCTTGCATGCCCACTGGGTTGTCACACCTGCAGGGCAACAGCAGGCCTGTCTCAGCCCCCGGTGGTGCGCTGTGGGCAGCAGCAGCCAGCCCCCCTCCCCCTGGGACCTGGCTCTCGTCGGGAACAAACGCGGAGCACGTCCCCCGCCGGACTCCCGCTCCCCGGCCCGATCGCCCAGAGCTACACACCCTCGGAGCCGAAGCCCCAAACCTCAGGGCGCTAACCCAGCCTGCCTGGAGCTCGCCCGCAGCTGTGCAGGATACCCCCCGGGGCCGAAGGGGGCGGTGCAGCTGCAGCCCTGGCCGCTGGACTGGGGAGACGGGCCTGCAGGCTCCGAGACCGAGACCCACCGGATCAGAACCGGAGAGGACGTGCCAGTACCGCTCTGCACCGCTCGATTACGCCGGTCCCTTCCTGGGTCGCCCTCGGCAGCGCGGTTTTATTCTGCCGACGGCCTGCGCAGCACGGGAAACCACACCTCTGAAGACCGCGCTGCGCCACCGGTACGAGAGAGAGAGGGAGACCAAGGCCAGCCAGCTGAAGCTGCAAGAGCTCCAGAGGAACCGCAGTGTGATTGCGGAGCAACACTCGAACAGCCAGAAATAGCGCCGGCAGGGATTCTGAAAGACGGTAGAAAACAAGAGGGCGGCCCAGCGCCATCCGGCCTCCCACGCGCCTCAGCGCTCTGCCCCGTGTCAGAGGAGAGACGAGCAGCGACGCTGTCACGCGCCCCCGCACCGAGCGCGCAGCCCTGGAATTAAGCAGCAGGGGTTCAGCTGCAGCAGCGCAGCTGTGTCACAGCCCACCAGCCTGACCGGGGCTCCTGCAGGGGAGCAGAGAGCACACTGGGGCAACCGGGGGTCAGGCTCTGGGAGCAGGTACCGAAATCCACTCCTGTCCCCCTGCTGCTCCTGCTCGCAGGTGAAGCTGGGACACCTGCCCAGGACCCCCTCACAGCAGGTGCCCACCCTGACACTCGGAGACAGCGGAGAGAGAGAAAGACCCAGGCTCCAGGGAGACCTGCGATGGACGCGATAAAGCTGACGGTGCAAGTACACAGCAAGCAGAAAATTCATCAAGTAAAAATTCATCAAGTAAAAAAAAAACTATTTTCAAGAATGGTTCAACTCTTCTTCCCTTTAGTTATGTAAACATGGAATTTAACTGGCAAACTCCCAGTCTAAATCCATCCCGTGGTGATGAACCCCCCAGCTGCAGCCCACCCCCGTCAGGCTCACCCCACAGCCCTTCGGGGATCAGGCAGGTCGTGCTACTGGGGCACTCTGGGGTCTGCGGTCAGTACTGCTCAGGCATGGGTGCGTCCCTCACACTGACCACAACGTGGGGTCAAGAAGGCGGCCAGGGGGGACCCGAGTACCGGTCCTGCTCATCCCCTCGGGAATGAGAGGAGCAGGAGGGCTCGTTTCTTACTACAGAGAAGGGGCTTGTCCTGGGCAAAGCTGGGGTTCCCCCTGCAAGGGCACCCCATTTCCTCCAGTCCAAGACTCTGCGTGCCCAGTCTGGAAAAGCCTGGCTCAAACCAGCTGCATCCCGATCCGGGGAACTGCTCCACACCCGACGCCCGGAATCCTGCAGGAAACTGCTGGGGAAAAGCGCTCTGCGCTGCTGCCGGAGACTGCGCGCATTTCAACTCCAGCTCTGCTCTGGAGGGCCTCCGGTACGACCTGGGCAGTCAATTAAACAATTAACCTAATTAACCTACTTAACGAGCTGCATATAGGATTTTTTCCTGAGGTCTACTACAGTGGAGTACTGAAAGGAATGCTCTTTAGTGAAGTTCAGCTACTCCCTAAACCACCCCCGAGCCTGATTAGAAGTATTAATTGTGTTGTTAATTAAATAATTAGACCAGCAAAGGTACTGAACCCTGGGCACCTGCTTAACAGAAGTAAAATCAGTAAAAATCTAAAGGCTCACAGGTATCCCAGCGTGCAGGATTAATCACTGAGAGAAGCGATACAGGAAGTGAAAATCACAGCTCAGACGAGAGTGACCCAGGCCGGGGGATTCCAGCAGGGTTGTATTTAAAGAGGGACAAGCGAGCAGGTGTGCCGTTAGAGACAGTGCGGTCTGAGGACTGATGACAGCGGGGTTAAAGCGCAGGAGACCCGCGGCCTGGTGACGCCGCCCCGGCGCAGACAGAAGATCCTAGAAGCGGCGCCTCCGGACCGACAGGAAGCGCTCAATCGGCAGGTCTTTCCGTTCAGGTTTTTTGTCTCCTCTTTAAAAAAAATAATACACGAGACCGTCCTGCTTTCTGATCCCTGACCCTGCGCTCAGACCCCAGCGCGACCGGGCGAGCGCAGCACCCAACAAAGACGAGAAGCGGCCGCTCCCCGTCCCGGGCCCTGCGCTCGCACCCCGGCACCTGGCACCCTTCCTCCTCCTCCTCCTCCTCCTCGAGGCAGGAGCCCGCCGCTCCCCGGCCGGGACAGAACCGGGGGGCGCAGCCGGACAATGCGGCCGCTCCCAGCTCCCCGCTCCCACCCCTTCACACCCCTGGCTCCCGGCAGGAGGCGAGAGCCAGGGCAGGAAAGACGCTCGTTAAAATGTCCGATTCCTCCCCGCCCGCCGCCCCCTGTCTCACGCCTCTCGGGAAACGGCCGCGCGGGCACCCCCCGAGCAGACAGCCGGGGTGCACCGCCCGCCCGCTCCCGGAGCACCAGCGCCTCTCTTCGGGCCCCCGGGGGCCACACGCTGCCGGCACCCGTCCTCGGCAGCCAGCGCCGGCGAGGGAGCAGACCGCCTCGCCAGCCGGGAGAGCGCCCCTGCCTACTAATGAGCTGCTGGGCACCGGCGCGCCCACACGGGAGGGGGGACCCCAGCGAGGCGCTAATTTGGGGAGTAAGGTGGGGGCGACCAGTCTTTCTCCCTCACAGCCGCTCACTGCTCGCTCCGCCGGTACCGTAGGACCCATAAAAACCGGAAAAACACGCCGCCGCCGCCGAGCGCAGACGGCGCCGCCAGACGAGGCGCAGGGGCTCCGGTCAGCATGAAGCAGCAGCCGGACAGAAACCGGCCGCGCCGCCCGCGGAGAGCACGGCACCGAGCGCCCGCTGCTCGTGCACGGCGGGGCCGGGCCGGGGCTTACCTTTATAGCACGGCGTTTACCGGACGGTCTGTGCGCCTCTCTGCTCCGCTCGGCCGGGCAAGAATGGCGATCTGGGAGCGGAGCCGCCCGCACGACACACTTCCGGGACGGGCGCCGCGCACGACGCGTGACGGACGGGCTACCGGGGGAGGGGCTACGGGACGGGGACGCGCGTCGCGCCTGCGGAGGCAGTGGAGCGATCACGGGAACGCGGATTGGGAACTACAAAGAATCCTATAAAGTCTGCAGATGTTGCCTATTTAAAATGTTTCCGTGATGTTGCAATGATTTAACTGACTCCCTGCCATCGCGATGTTTAGCTTGTATTGAAAATGTTTTATGTGAAGAAGGCAACTGACACTCCAGCCTGAAGAAGGTTCCACGGCCAAAACGTTTTCTTTCTTCTCTTTTCACCAGAAATAAACCAATTACTTGTTCCTTTACAGCCTACGCATGCTGACGCAGCTCCCCACCTGAACTACGGCCAGTCCTGCACTCCCCACATGTCCTGCTGGGAGTTGTGAAATAGGACGGTTTGCAGTCACCCTGTGTGAAGCCAACAGCACTGACTCCCACGGTGTAAAAGAATGCAGACACACCTATCTCTTCACTGGAGATAGGTTAGCTCAGCAGTTTCCACCCCGAGTTACCTGATCCCAGATTCTGTGCAACAACCTTGTATTGCTGATGGGAGCCGTTTCCCCTCATGAGCTCCCTGGAGCTGCTGGCGATTATCAATCCCCCCAGACAAGTGCTGCCTGTTTGGACTCTGGTCTTTACCCCTCACACAAGGCAAGCAGGCACTGAACTTCCTGTGATTAAACTTAATGCTTTTCTCACTCACAGAGCAAAATATTTCCCCTCTCTTGCCAAATTAGCATCAGGGATCAAATAGAGACGTGATTCTGTCAGATGGTCTCGGTTGGTCAAACTGTCCTTTCAAAGTGCAATGGAACGATCTTCCTCACATCTCTTATCCTCTGATGTTCCTTGTTAACTAACTGGGGTTTGTCATTCATGCAGCAAGATTCTTGCTGTCTAAAACACCCTGGGATGAATGCAGCTGAATGCAAAAAAAAACAGTACAACTGAAGTGTTAAACATCAAATGTCAAGACAAGTTTCAGGTGTCATCACGTATTAAATACAAACACCACACCCTCCCTGGCAGACCGAGGGGGACAGCAGATCCACCTGCGGCATTCAGCACTTGTTACACCAGGACAGCCTGTAGGACCAGAGCAAGAGGGTCCCCATCCAGCTCGCAGGTGAAGTCCAAAACATTCCTCCTCTGCCACACAGCCCTGTTAACTGCACCAATCAGGCACTGCTTTCAATCAACCAGCCTCAGGGCCAGGTGCCAGCGGCAGGCCTTCCTCCAACGCACGCAGGAAGCACATCCAGCCCCGGCGTGAGCCTTTAAAAGTGCACAAGAGCACCTCCTCCACAGCACTCAAACTAAACCATTCATCAGGTTTACAATATCCAAGAAATAGAGCTGGACGTAGAACTACAGAAAAAAAAATATTGTAACCGCAGTCACCAAACTGAAAATCTAGTCCATTTTGTCACACCTCCCTCAGGCTCCATTTACAGAGGCTGTAGCAGGCACCCCCCCAGAGTTACCTACAAAACCCTGAAATCCTAACCAGCTGCCATTAAAAGCACAGATACAGAGTAATAATAATAGCTTACACTTATAGAGCGCTTTTCTGGACACTCCACTCAAAGCACTTTACAGGTAATGGGGACCCCCCTCCACCACTGTGCAGCATCCACCTGGATGTAATTACCGTGCTTTTAAATAAGGGCCAATTGCTCAGCCTGAGAACGTTCCACTCTGGTTTGGACATACAAGGTTACATTCTTACACAATGTGAATACTAAGAGTCACAGCAGGTACTGAAACTACTCTACCTTTAAGGATTAACATGACATGTTGCACCAGCACATTTACATATCCACTCACACCACTTGGTTAAAAAAAAAACTTTTAATATTCCAGAGCCATTGATTCACAAAGCCTACAGGATGCACAAGCCTTATTAACCTAAAAATAGTTACAGATAACCTTAAACAGCCCTGAGCCAGCCCAAGCCCAAAAAATGGGAGTCCAATGTGTTCAGTGACAATTGAATGTGTTCTACAACTTTCAAACATGAACATTGAGACGTGAACACTAGGATGGACAGGACAGGTGATAAAAAAACAGCATGACTCAATATGATCTAGACCTAAACCAGCCCGTCTTTACAAATCCAGTCTTTACAGTGTTCAGGGCGTGATGCTTCCTCCTCCACGGGGTCGGTGTGTGCATCGTGGGGGAGCAGGCTAACAGCACCATGTCCTCAGGAGAGCAGGTCCAACACCAGTGTGACGCAGTCACCCCGAGCTGAACACTTCAGTGGGGGGGGGGGGGGGGTATGGGGGGGAGTTCTCCATCACCTCTCCCAGCACAAATAAGCAGGCAGACTCGGGGAGTTTGGTTAATATTCTCTGCAGGTTTATTACAATGATCTGCAGGGCAGGAGAAGGGGAAGTGGGCTTCAACAGCAACTTCAACACCCTCCCCAATCCCCCTTAACCCTACAGGTGCAGGCAACCATTGTTTTTTCCAAAAAAATAGTTCAGTACAAAACATGTTTCCATTGCATTTAAAAGGGAAAAACAAAAAGGACTTAACATGACTTTAAAACCTACTCCAAAAAAAAAAACCCTAGAAGAAACCTCCCCTGTATATCAGACTAACCCCCCACCCTCCCCCGACGTGAGAAAAGCAGTCGAGTCAGAAGCACATCGATGAGGTTTTAGCTGGTGTCCATCTGAAAAAAGAAGAGAGCCCAGTTAGTTTCTCTCATTGAACACGTCCGGGATGCACCAGCCGAGGTACTGGTGTTGAAACACGGGGCACCCCTTACACACTCCCGCCATCACCCCACTCACCCTGGCGTTGTAGGCGTCCAGCTGTGCGTCCAGCTCCTCGGCAGATAGCTGCTGTTTGCTGTTGCTCCTGCCCCCCCTCCCCCGGCCCCTGCTGCCCCCGCCTCGCCCCCCCCGCCGGGGCAGTCCCCCGAAGCCCCCGCCGCTGCTGCTCCCGATGCGGCTCCGGTTCAGGGTCCCGCCGCCTCGGTTCAGTCTGGAGAGGAGAGAGGCATCCCGTTACTGACAGCATCCCGAACCCCCACTACAGTCTACTGGAACCCAGTATCACTACGGATCTGCTGCGCTGGTCTCCACACTTACCCCTGCATGGGGGGCCTCCTCTGTGTGTCGATCTGAGACGTGACGAGCTGGATATTCATGGGGCGACCTGCAAGGGAGAGGGTCACCATGAGTTCAACGAAACGGGGAAAAAAAAAAAAACGACAAGCAGGCGAAAATCCTAATTCCAAAATGAGGACAACAGGGGACAGACTCACCATCCAGTGGAACGCCATTATACTGCTTCATGGCCTTGAGCGCATCGGCCTTCCTCTCGAAGTGCACGTCCGCCGTGCCCAGGCTGCGACCCGACCGGTCATAATGCACCGCAGCCTTCTTCAGCGTGCCAAACTCCGCGAACAGCTCCTGGAACACAGGGCACCATCAGGTCTGTGCGCTCGCCAACAAGCCCAACCCACCCACCACACGAGAGGCGCGCAGGCTCAACTCCACCCTGCTACCCCATGGGCACAACAGCTGTAGGCTAATGATAGACACAGGAAAAGGCACCGATCTAGCTTCTCAAAAGCAAACCAAAAGGCTAGGAGCAGGTGTCTTAATCTGTATGCTAGCACTCTCACTGCAACAGGAACACCTGCCTCTGGAAATCACACCGAAGCCTGCGGGTGAGAGCCTGGACCCCCCCCTCATGGAAATGTGCTTCACCTTGGAAAAGGGTCACCTCAGCAACTGCAGGTTCTGAACCCAGCACAGTTCAATCACTGGCACAATAGGACCAGTGTAACTTCTGTGACCCCTTGAGGTTGGGGGGCTCTGAACAAACCCTCCAGGACCAGGACTGCACATCCCTGCCTCGGAGCTGTTGAGTGAAAGGGCTACAGTGCTGTGTTTCTCCTGAATGAGAGGCGAGACCCAGTTTAGGAACTGCAGTTATCCCAGAGCCACATGCAGCCACTACGCGAGCTACACGCAGTCCAAACCAGGACACCCCCGCGCAGAGTCAGCACTCACCTGGATATCTGCATCCGAGACCCCGAAGTCCAGGTTGGAGACGAGGAGCTTGCCTCCGGTCTCCACGCCGGCGCCGCCGCCGCCCGCGCC